ATGTTATTCAACAAAAAATAGAGCATCACAAAATTCTAGTTATCAAAAGCATGTTTATGTCATACAAAAAGTTTTAGGATGCTCAATGTAGAATTTTAATAGAAAATCTTGATAAGCTGTTCTTGTTCTTGAGTAAAAATAGGTGGTGAATGGAGGAGAGAAGATTTCAGATTGGAAAGAGCGTTTGACTGGATTGATGGAAAAAGCAGAAGGGAAACGACAATGATCAACAAATATTGTCAAACAATATAATGATTCATGGGTAATGAGTACATCATTTTGTCTCTTCTGATTTTCTTACTCCAAATCATTTTTCTTTTTGAATCTATGTAAAAGGGGTTTGGTGCTGAAAATTCTACATTTCTTCCTCCAAATCAATATATTTATTGATTTTGTGTATTGAAAATGATGAAGTTATAATTCTTTTTATAATGATTTATACAATATAATGTGTGTTAATTAATTTTTTTAAAAATTAGAGTCATTGTTTCATTACTTCTTTTTATTTGGTGCATGCTTGAATAGGTATATTTTTATTGAAGCAAACTAAAGTTTTAAAATGATAAAAATTTAAAAATAAACAGTATATTTGATTTGAAAAAATAAATTTTTTTGTTCGTTTTTTTTTTCATGTCTTTATTCATTTTAACTTACAAAAGAAAAAAGAAAAAAAAAGGATGGAAAAGGAAATTATATCCTTACATTTTTTATGCCATTTTATTTTTCCCCTTTTTATTTATTTCCCTCGGATTCTAACATATCCCTAGAGTTAGAAATTGAAAAGTGTTTTTTAAAAACAACATTTTACCCCATTAGTTGGCGACTTAGCGTCCACATAATAGAGAAGAAGATTTCTGGCAAACATGCATGAAATGTTTTACCTTCTTGCACCCATTTAAGAAAAATAAAAGGGCACAAGAAACTGTAACATTGATGGATGGAATAACATCAGCATATTGCACTATAAGTCAAGTCCTGCCTTACCCCACAACGTGATTCACACCATGAGAGGCAGTGTACTTCTCCGACTGTTTTGCAAGATATGGGCAATGATTAATTAATTCTCATCACTGCCACAAAGCAAATGTGTTGCCATCAAGCACCAAATCTGGAGTAACAGTTGCTGCAACAATTCTTCAATTAATTTTTTTTATAACAACAATGATTAGTAGATTAGTATTGTTAAATGTTAATAACTGATGATTCAATTCTCAAATCTAATGAACAGCTTATCAACCTCAATGAAACGTGCAGTCATCGGATCGTTCGGTGGAGTTCAATTAATTTATTGTTCCATTATCTTCAGTAGAAAAGCTCCAAATATCTGCAATTTATCATCCCAAAACATTTGAAAATCATGCAAGTCATCATTGCCCTTCCATGACTTTCTTATCCAGATAAAGGCCCAAGGAGCAGTGTCAAGAACCAATTAGTGCCTCGTTACCTTGGTTTTTTAAAAGATTTCTCTTAGTATAAAAGTTAAACTAAATTCAGATTTTTTTTAAAAAAAATTGATTGGTTTGAGAGAAGAAGAGGGGAGTGAAGGAAAAATTATTAAAATCAATTAAATTATTTTATTAGCCCAATAATTTAATTTAATTGGCCAAAAAAGAGTCTTTTCCCCTCAGTTTCCATCAAATCTAACAAGATAAAAGAGTTCTTTTAAAACTTGTTTATAACTAGGATAAGAAGTTGAAATATGAAACTATTATTTTTGGAGTACATCTTTTACCCCCTAAACTTTTGAATTGATTTTTTTCTTTTATCAATTTCTACATTTTTTATGATTATTTTATATGATTTAGTATTTCTATATACGATGTACATCACTGCTTTTATTGACAAAATATATTCTTTTAATAAAAACATATTTGATTTACACCAATATTGGAGTGGTACTCAAAACTAACAAAATTCAGAATGCAACCCAAAAACAGCTATTCATAGTAGACTTCCACATGGGTCCTTCACCCAAATCAGAAAATTAATTGAGTGCTTCTAAGAAGAAATGAAAAGTTGAAAACAAAAGCTAGAGGGTCCACTAATGAAAAAATGCTCATTCAATCAAACTTGCTTGTTTGTGTGTGACATCATGAAATTGCAATCACCAATTCAAGATTATTAGAGAAAGAAAAAATATTAGGAAAAGAAACAAGTAACCTTAGTAATGATGTAAAAGTTCAACCAGTTCCACTACTAAAAGAAGACTCACTGGGCCCTTCTTCCTTTTTCTTATCATCTTTACCTTTCTTGAAGCACTGATGCTTTTGCTTGAACTGCCTCGGATAGCATCTTCTCCATCATAAACTACGTTGTTTTCTTCCGAGCCAAGTGGTTAGCACTAGTTCAGACAAAACACCAGTCAAAAGCTTAATCAATCATCGACACAAATGGGATTTTACCTAAAGCTTCTTTCTTCAATTGTCCCACAACATCTTCAATCCAAAAGGCCAATAATTTCTCAAGCTCATCACCTGTTATTTTGCTCAATTCCCCCACAGAGATAGCGACATAGCTAAGAGAATCATGAATAAAAATCATCTGAACTTATAGAAATGAAACTACCATTAATGGATATATATAAAAACAGTATATACTAATCCTTCACCACAATCTTCAACTTGGGAACAGATATAGTAAGGAATCTCTTTTGATAAACATGGGAAAAGAATAAAGTGGTTTGTTGAAAGTCCCTATCAAAGATAGATCATCTCCAACGAAGAACAATATTGGCGGAACCGAATTAATGTTTCAAAATCATTTTCTAATCACACGCTAGATCCACTAAACAATAATCAAAAGGATTAGCATCTAGTACGGATGACATAATATAACCTAAAGTCACTAAAAAAATAAGTACATGGGACCGGCCAAATAGACATTAACTTCTGTCAACAGAGAAATAAAAGAAAAGGATGCTTGCATTCAATAAGAATTATGAGACAATATGGTACAAGATTACAAATGGTAATTGGTCAAGGTTATTTCAGTTATAAGGCAAGGGGTTACACATACTAAAGTTCAAAACTTCAGATGCATATCACTCATTCATTGAGAAGAGTTACAGAATCTAATCAAGTTCTTTCCCTTCAGTATGAAAATAGAAAACCATCTTATTCTACAGTCAAAGATAGCAGAATTCATACCAAAGCTCAGCTCAGTCAATTACCCGGATCTAATTCTCTTCTGACTGGCTTTTCCATCAGATCTCAATGGCCCAGTTGATTCTCCCTCTGATGAAGTTTCCACTGACCTGGTGAAAGAGCTTGAGAGATCTGAATAAAGATTAACAACTCTCCTGATGTTGTTATTCAGCTCTCTAATTAAACCCACATTTCGGCTCAAGTTGTTGGGCATCTTGGATTCATGATTCTGGTTTATCTCATTGATTAGCAGCCTGTTCTGATCTAGGATGTCTTGAACTTGAACAAAACTCTTCTGAAATGTTTGTAAAACCTTGGTATCTGCTTGGCTTCCATTACCAAACTCTGAAAACATATCCCCTTCCATTTCAATGCTACTTCACTTCAATCAAAACCAAATCTATTCCTACATCAATAATGGAGCAAATCCTGTCAAATTGCTAAAACTTTTCCTATTTAAAAGGCATGATTAATTTGCTAAATGTAAGACTAGATGAGGATCTAATTCTGTCTTTATCTCAATACATTTGTATACCTCAGGAAACAAGTAGGAAAATAGACAAAATATGCAAGAATGACGGGCCAAGGAACATATATATTCTCTGCTTGGTTGCTAGGAAAATGAAAGGAAGATAAACTAAAGTTTAAAACCTTAGTTTTCTAACATTCGGATCAAAGAATGAATCCAAAACTCACCAAATTTAACAAGGCCAAAGAATTTGGATGGTATGACACCAGTACTCCCAAAATCTCCTCACTTTTCCCCCCCTTTCCTCGGCAACAAAATGAAGGATCAAGTTCAAGATACCTAACCATAAGAGACAAATTATGAAGCACCAAAAACCAGCCATATGAACTGTTCTGTGTCATAAAAGCAGACCCCTTTCCCATAAGAGAGAAAAAAAAGAAGAAGAAGCTTTTTATCATTTATGTTATCTAAAAAAAAAATTAAAAAAAAATACCAAGTTCTCAGTTCAAGAGAATAAAGCCCCAAAATTATTCACACAAAACCAGAGAGATACTGAAAAATGGACCCAAGAATTGAACCAGAAAACAAAAGCAAATTAAAAACAACCCAAGAATTGAACCACACCCAACAACATTTCATGAAATTTTTTCAGCTCAAAGAGAAAAAATTCCATGAAATTCATAAAAAAGAAAGGAAAAGAAAATTTTGGGATTTTCTCGGGAATAAGAGATGTACCAGTTTAAGATATGGAAGGGAATCTCCACTGACTGGAAGAGCAGAGAGAGTAAAATATAGATCCTGAAATCAGGAACCCAAGAATCAGGAGGGATGGAGAAAAATGACTACGCACAAGACTTGGGTTGACGAAAAATAACGCCGATGTTTCTCAATCTGTCTTGTTGTGTATTCTGGAGTCAGATTGGGTGTCGGAAAAGATGTGTGTTTTGTGAAGATACATGGCAGCTTGCCTGGCGTGTTTGAAATTGTTCTGCTTTTGGTTTTATATAGTCTGAACTGCGAAATAAGGTTAGATAAGGTTGGTGAATTACCCGATGCGCGGTTCAACAATGACAA